TATGTCTGGATTTTACAGCTGAGTATGTCAGGAATTTAGTTACAAGTTGAAACCGCTTTATAATGTGTGGCTATAAAGATCAAAGGTTGCAAAACCAACCTGGGAAAGCCAGGTCCTGCTCTTCCAAGGCTCATCAATCATGGCTTAGTTCTGGCCCATCTCACATGATCTTACATCGTGTACTGTCATTTGGACAAATGTTTATGCGTAGCATTAGACCAGAGACTCCAACAACTCTTAGGCTAAGTACTGCCATCGCTTCCTGACAGCACTTTCCTGCTTTTTATTTACCTGGTATCTCTTTTTTAATTTATCTCAAAGTTGATAATTTTCAGTACGTGCTTCTGCTAGTGGCACACTGGGAATTCTCAGTTCTTCCAGCTGGAAAAAATTCAAGATCAATATAAGATCAAGATAAAGATCTTCCCTTGTTCCCTCTGCCTATTTGCTGAAGACCATGACATTTGTGCTTACTGAAGCTCAGTGACGCTCTGCCAGCCCATGAAGCCAAAATAAGGCAGGAGAAACCAAAATAAAGGTTTTATCAGTGAGTCTCCTATCAGACAGGTCACTAAGGGAGGAGTGAACCAGACTCTTTCTGCCCCAGTGCTGTCAGTCTGTGCTGGGGCACTGGAGAAGTCACATTAGTTTTGGTTTCCCATCTTTGCTTTTCTTTCAGTTGTGAACCCCTCGAGTAGGGACCAGTCCTTTACATATTGGGGCACCCACAGTCTTAGGAGACTCCTTTCACTGTAGAAGAAAAAATTATCTTTGTACAATTTATCATCCCAACTTTGCCTGGGAAAACTGGAACTCTTGTAAATTTTTCTATGAAAGATTCCTTGGTGGGAGGTATAGGAAAAACTGGTAGGCACTGGGATCACTGGCAATTCTGAGTTTTAGATCTTCCTAAGTTAATTTATCCCCAAGATATGAATTCTGTCAAACAGTTTTAAAAAAATACTTTTGTCTCAAATGAAATGGATTTGTGCTATCTGAACCAAAACATGAAGTTTATTATTTTTTAAAGCTGTTTAGCAGCTTCTTAGATGAAAAAATTAACAATTTCTCCAGTGATACCTCAGTTACATATTTCAATAAAAATGAACATCTGTATGTTAGATCTAACATTAAAACATAACAGCTGTTAAATTTGGGTTTTAGTTTTGCCTGCTTAGGCGATAGTTTGAGAAAGTCAGTAGGATAAAATGTACTTTAGTATTTTTAGGACCTTAAAGTTTTCCCTACTTCTGTTCCTGAACAAACTGTTTTGTGGAACCCCAAGAAGTCAATTGAGTACAGAGTCAGCTGTCATTGAAGTTACAGGGTTAGAAATGAGAACCAATGTGAGTGTCCATTCAAATAAGTCATTTGTTTCCTTTCTGAAGTGCCTGTTTCTGCAGACCCAGCCCTGTTTTCTCACCCTGTACTGCCCATTGCTCCCAAGGATTACTAGGAAGAGTAATGAGGAACATAATTTGCTTGTTATTGTGGCTGTCACCATCATGGCTGGAGGGTCAGAGTCCCATTTGACAGTGAAAAGCCAGATTTTAAGAAGTGATTGCTGAGTCTAGGTATTTCTTTTACTGTCTTGTCTTTGGATATGTGAGAAAAGCTTAAAGGATTGAGTCTTAATTTTTGAAGGTGCCTGAGAAAAGAGTCTTAGGCAGAACTGCTTCCTCTTCTACTTTGTACCTTTGAGGGTGCAAGAAAGTTGCATCAAAAGGGAAAGCAGCAAAAAAACCCCAAACAAAACAGGGAAGCACAGTTGCATTATCATTCTGAAGAAGCATTTTTATGCAAATGCATTTAACAGTTAAAATAAAGCTCATGTTATGTTGCCTTTGACTTTTGTAACTGCTGGGGTGTGACAGGACTCAAACTTTTCATGGCATGCCAAAAATATTTCTTAACATAAAGGTACTTTGCCTAGCTAATGTAATTATGTCCATTACTCACAGGGATTCCTTTTTGTCCTGGACTTTGTCTTATTCCCATATTTACTGCTAAGAGGAGATGGAGCCAGGTTGATACCGGTGTTCTGGTGTTTGTTGCTGCTGCTGCTGCTGCTGCTCACCCCTGGAGAGCCTGCCAGAGGTTTCATGGGGAAGGAGGACAAGAATCTGGCTTGCTCAAGGGTTGGGAATGACAGGAGTTCCTGGGGTAGGGTAGAGCTGGAGATAGAGGGAGGATTTGGGCTGGTGGCTGCTGCAGACCTGAGGCAGAGGCTGGGTGAATCATGCTGGATGGATCCTCTGTGGGCCCACAAGCTGTATTTCCAGCTGGAAGGATCTGTGGGGATGAACTAAGTCAACACTGACTTAGGCTGGGGGTCTGGCTTGTGTAGGTTTGTGCAGGTCCTCAGGAATAAAGTCATAGCAGGGTCTGGAACTGGTGAGGGGATAAGTCTACATTTGGCAGCAGTGGGATCCTCTGCTTAGATTTTCACCTAAGGCCAGTTGAGATTCCAGTTAGAATTTGGTTGCTTGGATGCTTTTGTTGAGGATTAGGTTGTGTAGCATTGGTTGGGAATTCCAAATTCCCAGCAGCAGAAAGTCCTTTAACCTGCAAGAGGGGAAATTGTTTCTCCCCGTTGGTGCCCGTCACTTCTGAGGGAGCCATTTCTTCATCCTCTCGAGTCAGAGCCTGGAAGTTTGGGTCACACATCTCCCGTGAGCACAGGACCACGTGGATGCACCCAGGCAGGGCTGTGGGCAGCTGCAGAGACCCAGAGCCTCGAGTTGATTTGATCTGTACCTGCCTCTGTAACTACGCCTGGCTTCCTCTGACCCAAATTACCTAACTCAGCTGGAATTTCCTTCCTCATATTCCTGCCCTTACATCTCTGCACTCACCTGCTGTATTTAACTGGCTGCAGTGGGGGGCTGGGGAAACCGTGTGCTAATGCTGAGCCCACCTCTGCCCTTCTCCCCGCCTGGCTTGGAGACACACTGTGTAAATGGAATTTTTAACATCAAAAGTTTCAATTACAGCAGGAAATGTCAGGCCGACAGAGTGCAACTGTTCCAGGTTTCCCATAAGGAATACTCCCACCCCTACTATTTACCCATATGGAAAAAACAACCTCCGATGGTATTTTTTTAAGTTCTCAGGTAAACGGAGCTGAATGGTATCATCACATACACGGCAGGCTTTCTGCAGGAGATGAAAAAGTGTAAATCATAGCACAGGGTCCAGAGCCTTTACAGTGCCTTTTTCATGGAAGAAAACCCCAGGATACAGGCTAAATGGGATGGGGGCTGTTCGAGAGACAGCTTAACCCCCGGCAAATCAGAACTCTCAGGGAAAGAGAAGCAGCATGGAAACGTTGATCTTGGAGTAGGAGATCCTACAGAAGGCAGCAGACATCATGCTGGAGAAAGTGGGTTATGGGAGAAGCTTCTAGAGACCCAGAGGGTCAGTGCAGTGACCAGCAGAGCTGTGAACCTTCCAGAAGAGACTGGCTCTGCCTTCTCAGTGCTTCTCAGGAGTAAGGTCTTCTATTCATCTTTTCCTCTAGTAGCTGAACAAGTCTAATTCTCTCAGCCTCTCCTTTGTCACCGTGAGCTCCAAGTCCTGATCATCTTGGTTGCTTTCTCCTTAATCCATCAAGAAAACCTATCTGCAACATATTTTGCAGGTCACTAGACTCAGCTTTTATTGGTACGAATGTAAGGCTTTTACTGTGGCCTCAGAGATCCCTACTGGACTTGGCCTTGCTCCATAGCATAGAAAATTCACTGCTGAGATGGGTGATACAGCCTCCTCATCCCTGCACTCCCACAAGGACTCCATCATTTGCCTCCAGCAGGAACAGGTCATGCTTTTAATGACAGTGCTCAACCTGTGGGATCATCTTGGACATACTGGTTCCTGGAATTGCAACTGGGGCTTCCAAAAATGCCTGGAGAGCTTCAGTGGTCAAATTAAATCAGTGAATGTAGTAAAGAATTTGGCACTTAAGTCATCTGGCTCTTCAGGATAATTCAGTATATCCCAAAAGCAGGCTCAATCAGAGTATTGTCCAGCCGAAAAGTTGTTGCTGTTGAGTGTTCAGAAGAGTTTAGGATTTCCAAATGTCTCAGCAAACTGCTTCCCAATGGCAAGTGTCTGTCTTCATGTGTGCAAAGTGCTCAGATTTCTACTTATCCACAGGGGGGAGATTTTGTGGGGGGTGAGTTGGTAATGTCATGTGAAACCTCCTTGGGTTTCTCTGCAGGACAGCACAAAATCAGCACCGTACAATGTGTTCTGCAGACGTGGGGCTACAGTGCTTCTGCTTAGGGCAAGTGGGAACACAAGAATTCAATTCTGTAGCAAATGGTGAGGTTTCAGATGTGCTTATTATATAGGAAGGTGAAATGTTTCTTGAAATAAAAATGAAATGGATGGAGAACATGTTAAAAAACAACCTTTAGTTTGTTGATTAAGGAATTCACCGAGGCAGAGGGAGCTGAGCACTGAACTTGCTTCCCTTGATCAAACAGAGCAGGAATTTTTCCCTACAACCAGTGAGCCTGGGTGGTAGTGAAGGGAGCTCTGTCCTCAGCAGGACTCAGGGATTTTTGGGATGGGTTGCAGCATTACTTGGGGGGATGAAAAGGGAGCAGAGCTACGTGTCAGGAAGCAGATCCAGCCATGGGTTCATCCATGGGCACTGTCCTTGGCAGCTCAGCTCAGCTCTGGCCCATGTGACACCTCAAAAAAACAGAGGAGCAGGAAGAAGGACGTGAGATAGGGTGGGAGAAGGCATCCTCTGAAATCTTTATCACCAAATGCAAGTTTAATAGATGTCAAGGGTGCTTGTTTGTCTTTTCTTTTTTAAAGAAGCTTATTAGTTATGGGAAAAAATGTAGAGCTGTTCCCCATGATGTAAATCTGTAGAGATTTAAATTGATGGGAGAAATTTGCAGCTTGTGTAAACAGGCATGGCTCTGTGGAGTCACAACAAATTATGCCAGCTGAGGATACAGCTCATCATTTTTAATAGTTTTGTTCTTCCACATAAGAGAAGGAAAGGAAATGGGGAATGTAAGGGAAAAAACGAAGGAAAAAACACAGCACAGGATTTACAAACTCTTGGCCATCACTTTTCTCAGCCTCTGCATGGGAAACATCTGCATGTTAGAGAGCACTTTGATGTCTGCCTCACAAATCTGGGCTCTCCTGCCCTCTGAATGTCACATTCACAGGGCACTGCTTCCCTGATGGCAGCTGCCCTCGCTGGGAACAGGTGAGCTGAGTGCTGCCGAGAGCAGCTGAACATACACCACCTGCTGATCCCAGTGAGTTCATTCTGCTGGTCTGTAAATATAAAATATGGAAAGGGTCACAATTATTGTTCCTTTGGAGATATTAAAGTTTAGAAGCTGCCTCTAATGACTGATGTATAGTAGTAGAATGTAATCTTTCCATGGAAAGTTGATGGCTACTACAAGCATAAGCCTTGTGTGGGCAAAATAAATAACATCTTTGTCTTAGGAGCTAACGTGGGATGTTTAGTCATGTGTTAGAACTGTGCAGCTTTCTGATTTCAGAGATCTGCTGGGTGAAACACTGAGCAGGACTGCAAGAGACCAGCAGAGGTGTTTGCAAAAATCTCTGTTGGCCTTTACATCTCTCCCTGTAGGAACCTGGCTGACAATTTCTGTGCCAAACCTTTGTGCTGGAGCAGCACCTCCTGTGCATGTGGTGGTCTTCATGCTCTTGTTGCTTTTGGAGGTGCAGGAACAGCAGCAGGTTCCATGTCCTAGGCTGAATCATAAAATGCAGCTCAGAACAAGGCAAAACAGGAGGGCAGGAACATCTGAGCACTCACCTGGGATGGAATTCCTTGGGATGTAGGTGGACAGGGACAGCTGATGAGAAGCTAAATGGCCTTTGCAGCTGCCTGGGAGTGATACTGATCTCATCCTAAGGGAGGCATCTGCTGTAGGCCAGGTGATTTTCTGACCAGAAGTGCCTACTCACTCCATTAACTCTGGTGGGAGGTGAATGTGGCTGAGCAGGTGTAGATACCAGATTGTTGGGATTTGGGTTAGAAAAATACCCCATCTTTTGCTGCAAGGCAAGTGGTGGTGAGGCTGGCTCCTAGGGAACAACAGCAGGTCAGTGAGCAAAGGGTCAGTCAGACAAACCTGCCTGAAGGCCTCTGACCTCCCTCCAGCCCAGCAAGAAACAGAGTGGTTGGTGCCTTTGGAAAATTGGTCCTGAAATAATCAGTTATCTTTCATCATCTGCCAAACCAGGCAAAGGTGTGACTTTGTTTCTAGGTTGTCTTGGGAGACAGTTGTGTTGGAAAAAGCAAAGACAGCATTTTGTGTGGTAGGAAGTGGCCAGCACTGGACAATTTGTGAAAAGTTCTGTTTTCAGGACTGTTTTGAGCCTGGCCAAATCAAATCTCGCCAGTGGAGGCAAACTCAGCAATGACATCAGTGATGATGTGCATTGGATGTCAGTAAAGCAACTGAGTGCTTTGGATGGACTTTGACACAGAATGCTCCCTTTCAATCTGCTCCACAGATCCTTTGCCCTCGATGTTTGGGTCTGTGCACCTTGTTTCTTCCACACTCTGACATCAGTGGAAGCTCCACGTTGGGGCAGGAGCAATACACGAGGTAATGAGATGTATCACAGAGATAAGGGCTCTCGACTAATTGTGGAGGAAAACTCCCCATCCTGCTCCTAGTCCAATGTTCAATTTTGTGTACATAGCAGGAGAGGATGGTTCTGTGATTTATCCTCTTCTGAGATCACTGAGTTCTCTCTATGGTGATACTTGCCATACCAATATGAGTCATTTATGGAGTTCAATTACTAATTTATGAAACAAATTAGCTTGATATTTAAGGCCTGATACAGTGATGTACTTCTGAAGTGATCTGATGAAGGACTTCCAATGAAAACTATTGTATCTGATAATAATAAAGCAAACTGATTCATTCAAAAGCAAATATTCATTCTGAGGTTATCATCCTCTGCCAGGAATGTGGCTCTGGAGTGGGACTAGCACTGCACAGTGCCAGTGAGCAAAGGAGAAGGGGTTTTTTATGAGAATGGCAATAGCTTGTAGGTTGCCAGCAGCGATCTAGAGTCAAGATCACTCTTTTTGTGTACCTGTGAAATCCTGCAGAATTAAGACTTAAGGCTGCATCTGGACTGCAGTTGGGTCAAAGGATCCCAGAGCTCATCACTGCAGCTGGGTTGGCTTTAAATTCCATATTTTGGGTGCCAGGTGCACTTATGTCGTCACACAAAGGAGTGGCCGTGTTGTTCAGTGGACATGGGCCCTGCTCTTGGTGAACACTCCCACTACAAGCCCTCCTCAGCCTGAGTTTGGAGAGGGACAATGAATATACAGGAGGGGAGGAGAGAAGAAAGGTGCAGTTGATGCCTCAGTACATGGGGCCAAAGCTTTCCTTCCTCCAGGTTGCCTGACTTAGTTACGGATGCAGTCTGGTGTGCATTCCAGTTGGAGACAGACATCCAAAAAAGTCCCATGCCCAGCTCTTCCTCAGTGCAATGTTGAGACTGAGGGCCCAAGCAGCAGCCAGGCTAGCAGCCAGAAATATGGACAAAAGGCAGGTAAGTCACAGGGCTGGGCACACTTGAACTGGATCCCACTCGCTACACAGTGATGTGGAAATAGCCTTGGATTGTATTTTAAAACTATTTAGCCCTGACCCACATCTCAGTGAAGTCAATGTGATGTCAGTGACTAAAATGGGCTCTGGAACAGGCCTGCAATGTTACCAGTGCCTTCAAATGCTTCCTTCACCTGTAGGATGAAAGTCCTTCTCCTGACTCAATGGGCCTCCTTACTGCTTCCTCCCCTCTCAGTTTCCATGGGCCCCTAGCATGGGAAACAGCCTTATTCATCTTTGTATTTCCATGTCTCTGAATCAGGCAGGTTCTGGGTATATTCCACATAGAAGCCTGTTATCTTTTCAAATGGCAAAAAAGAGGGGATTTTTCCATAGTCACATAGTTTTTCCACAGAAATGTATTCATGAGAGTTAAACTTGCCCAAACTATGTTAATGTATGTGGTTGGCTTCTGTGCCAATTTTCATTGTGAATAAGACGCAAAATAAAAGGCCTCTTGTGTCTGCCTTTCCTCCTCCTTGAATCCCTCCCATAATTTTTGAGTTCATAAGCCCATTTTGTATGTGAATCAGATCAGGAGAGGAAAGGCAGGGGGATTACTTTTTCTTTTAAACTGTACCTTTGCTTTAAGCTACTGATAGACACATGGAAGTTATGACTGAAACAAGGGGTTGATACAATGGGGCTGGATCTTATATTCAGTGTAAATTGGGATAACTCCATTTATCCTGAGCAAAGCTTCCTGATTTATGGCAAAGGAAGACCCAGCCTTAGCTCTTTAGCTCTGTTCATTGCTGCTTTGTTATTCCAAGGCATTTTCAATCTGACAAGAGAAATGGTGTCTCTTTTTGATACAGATGCTTGACTTGAGCTTGACAATCTCCTTCCAGAGTGTGCCTGTTGGGCCAGCACAGCACACACAACACATGAGCTGAGTTCAGGCAGCTCTGTAGCCAGATGGCTATGAAACATTCATAGTACAAGCTGTAGCTATTATGAGCCATTTCTCTTTGGTGCATGTCCTGACAAGCGGCTGTTATTAAGTTTCAGTGTATTTCTGTTAATGTTACCTACCTATTTTCATTCCTGTGTGCTGTCACACGGAGCTGGTTGGCGTGGTCTTGGGAACTGGGCTTCAAGGCTCCTCCCTGTGAAAGTTGCCAGCTCATTTATTTGTTTCTTTCCAGTGGTTCAAGCTGGTGCGTTATTCAGAAACTTCTGAAAGAGCGGGGTTGGGTAAACCTCTGATTCAGTTCGTTTGAAAGCACCCTTGAAGTCCTCCTCCACATCTTGCCCTCCTGTGGCTCTGAAATAGGCTTGACGAGGCTAATTTGGAGCCCGTTCCTGAGAAATCATCGGTGCTGCTGTTGGAAAGGTCCCTCAGCTTGAAGGTTCCTGTCCTCACTTGCAGAGCTGGGATACTTCTACTTTGGGCCCTGGCTCTCCCTGGTTTCTTTTTGACATGGCAATAGTCAAGTTGCATCCAAAAATCCTGAGACTGGCTTCAGATTTTAGTACACAGAGCTGGGTGAATGTTGCCTTCTGGTTTTTGCATTAGAGGCACTCGGCTCTTATTCATAGAGGGTAAAAATTGACTTTAAATCAGAGATGAGGTTCTTAGGTATGAAAATTATTTTAGTGGAGAGTCACTGTGTGTAGTACTACTCACTGTAAAACTGTAGGAGTTGGCCATTCTGGAGAAATCAGGCAATATCTGGTATTTAAAGGAATTATTCACAATACAAGGAGAGCCTTTTGTTCCTGTGCAGCTGCATATGTAGCAGGCAGATCTAAATTACAATTTGTGAATGTTTTGCTACAGCGGTGTGTGCAAGATCCCAACAGGGTGGATGAAGCAAAAATAAAATCTCTGTCAGATCTTGGTGTCTCTCATTTCAGCTGCTGCTTTCTGGGGAGGAAGAGAGAGGAGTGAATGCATGGCAGCTGTTTGGTAATGGGTAGCCTGAGAAATTCCCATCACAGTTCTGATCTGCTCAGGTGGACCTGTGTTCTTTCCCAGCCTGTGAAGGGAGAAAAAATGTCTAGCAGACAAAAAATAAATTATTTCAGAAACTCTCTGCAAGTGCTTTTCACCATGGTGCTTGACCACCCAGTCCTGCTTCCTTCCCTCAGCCTTGGCTCTAATCTCCAGTGTTCCCATCCTTCCTTGGGAGGGGGCCTTCTTTCCCATCTCTCTTAGTGATACCAAGGTCAGCCAGGTGTTCATGTAAAGAAATCAATGTTTTGGGCTGTGGTGCAGACCCTGAGCTGCAGCTGGGGGAGTGGCCCAGGGGACCTGCTCACCCATCCACCTCTGTGTGCTCAGCAACTGTGGCAAGGCTTTGCCTACTGTGCATTTCCCAGCTGCAAAGGGAGAAGGGTTTCCTTTGCAGTTGTATGTAAATTATTGTGGAAACGGAGAGTAATAATGCTCTCATTTTGAGAATTGTCAAGAATGCTTGGTTTTGAGGCCAATCATTCAGCTCCTGTTATCTCTAGGAATCAAGATGCTTATCTGTCTAAATGATTGCAGTGTGTCTCAGGTATTTGAAGGTGGTTCTTCCTATTTGTAGGAAAAATTTTAAAAAAATTAAAAGAATCAATGTTTGTTTCCCAAACTACCAAAAGCTTGTTAGCCTCCAGCAGATCTTTTTATCTGCAAGGAATAAAGCAGATATGTCCAGACCCTCAGCCAGTATAAATCAGATTCATGCCCTTGGCCCATTATTTTTTCTCATGCAATATCTCTCAAGAGGGATTTAGGCAAAGTTTAAGCATCTTTTTGTTTTCATGTGTCTGGTGTAAGGCTTAGCAGAACTACCCTTAGCCCTGGTTTTTGGAGGGCTTGCCTTCAATGCCACCCAGGTCTCCAGAGCCTACAGACTGAAAGAGGAAGGATGTGACTCATTTGCCAAGCAAGACAATTTCTTTGAAGGGTCAGTGGAGAAGTGTGAGCTCAAAAGGTGAAGGAGAAAAGGTGGTGGAGCTGAATTCAGGTGACCCCAGATGCCAACATCATGCATACACGTGCCCCTCAGGTCACTGCAAGGCTGGGGTAGCTTTATCTGTTTAGGCAGAGCTTCACCTAAGGCAGTGGGTACCCTGGAGGGCTGCTGAAGGTTCAAGACTTCCCAGTTTCCCAGTTGAATTAACTGGTGCTCTGGCCAAGTGGAATATGTCACCAAAAAAATCTGGTTGACACATGAAATCAGAATTTTTATTCCTCCCAAAATTAAGCCCACAACTTCTACTTGCAGTTGGTTAGATTGACTGGGGGACATAGAGTTGAAAATTGAAATGTTCATAGAGACTCTGCCCAGAGGGAAACCTGCCTGACTCAGTCCTGACCCCTCTGGCAGTTCCCAGCCCCACAGAGTACCCCTATGTGCCCCCCTGCCTAAAAGCCAGGGCAAATCCTCACAGATCCACAAGCCATTTCCCTATGGACGGGGCTATAAAATCAAAGCATGCTGACCCTTCTGGCCAAGAAGGTCAAATTGCTGCAGTTCTCCCCCACACTTTTTCCTTTTTTATTTTAAGGGCGTGGTATATTTTGTAAGTTTTGTGTTTATCAAGAAGTTGATTGTGTAAATAAAATTGTGGCCTTGTGTGCCAAATAGCTGGGTTATGATTTCCTGGAGGAGAGCCAAGGCGGTGTGTGGGAGCATGCCAGTGTTAATATGTTCACTTTGCTAAGGAATAGGCCATGTGTGGAGCACGGAGGGAGGACACTTCCAGCCTGGCTCTGCTTAACCCTTCCCTGGCCCCCCCTCCAAGCCTGTGCTGGGCTTCCCCCAGCGGTGCTGCACAAACACTGGGGGCATTCACCAGGGCTGAGGCGCTCCTGGAATTGCCTGGAGCCTGGCCAGTTCAACAGGGACTTTGCAAGGCTCAGGATCCCACCCTGATTCCCCTCCCGTGTTTCCTTCGGCAAAGGCTCCGTCGAACAGACCTCAAAGGGGCCTCTGAGAGAGGCCAGGTCAGGCACGTGCCTGGGGATGCCAGGGCAGGGAGAAGGGCCTTGGGCTAAATGGGAATCAACTCCCTGATTGTAATGACTTTATTCCCTATTTACTACTAAGTGCTATCCAGAGTTTATCCTATTTCTATTCTGCAGAGGCAGCCAGAAGTTTTCTCCAGTGGCTGTTCAAACAGCGGTGGAATCACTGAATAGTTTGGGAGTATTTTCAGCAGGGGATGGTGCTTCATGCCACTGAAGGCAAGGGGAAGATTGCTAGGAGGCTTTGGGAACACCAGAATTATGCTCTGGTTGCTTCTTTTGTTACTTTTTCCCTACAAATCATGCAGTCCCCATTTCAGAGCAGGTCGTATCTCCCTCCTCTCATCCTTAAGTCATTACATTCTGGAAGTATTTTAAACAAATGAATGCAGAAAACGTAACCTCTTGTTTTCCACAGAAAAGGAATTCGTGAGTCGGCTCCTTCTGCAGACAAAGCAAAAGTCCCAAGGATGCAGGAAAGAACCTCATTTTACCAAGCAGCAGGGAGTGGAGTTAGCTGTGTTACAGTGGGGAGGGGGTGGGGAACCTCTGTGTGAGGGGAGTTCTTGCAACTCAGACAAA